TGTTATAATTACAATTCACGACAGCCAGGCTTATCAGAAATTACGACAACGTGTTATTACAAATTACGATAGCTTTGTCATTACAATTCTCGACAACTGTTTTTTCATTTACGACAGATATTACAATTTACGACGATTGTTATTACAAGTTACGACAGAAAACAGACGCCTTTTACGAGCCTAACTGATGATTTTCCAAAGATAGATATATTTATTCCATCGCTTCATCAATGGAGACATCCAGCAAAGTATTTTGTGAAAGGTTAGTGTCCAGTTATTTAAACGAAGAAAAGCAAAGAAACAAAATGGTTTTAACAGGTGAGCATTTTTTTAAGAACCGGTATTTGACTTAAGCCAGACCGCAGTTCCAGCACACTCAGAGGACCTTCAGATCTTTTTATTTGGTAGGGGCATCCTGTAAAATATCTGTTCAAAGAAGCATAGTAGAGGGTCTCGATAGGGTTAACCGTCAACCGTCAAATGGTATAAAATTTAACCTTCAGCTGCGTGAAAAAAGGCAATTTTTTTAATACCGTCAACCGTAAAAAATGCAGAAATTAATATTGACTGTCGAAAGGGTGTAAGGTATTTCATATCTCACTTAAAAGGCCACTAACCTTCACGACCTTCTTGCTCCTAAAGAATCCTTAAACTGGGAAAACCTGATCCAGTTCCCATGTTCTCAACTCACTCTCTCCAGACATTAAAAAAAAAAAAGAACTCGCTTGTGTATGTCGTTGCAGCCAGGTAGACACACAGTCGTTTAAAATAAAATAGTGCAACCCTCATCAAACAGTTTGCACCAACAGGCAATAGGTCAACAGAGTAACCACACAATAGCTAGCAAAGCCTAGAGACAAAATAGTCAGTAATTCATGGTAACTGAATTTCTGAAAGCAAAGTTTAAAATTGTAAACTGTTTGTTGATGCTTTTAGCTAGGGGAGGTCAATGCGTTTTTTCCAGTTCCTACTTTAGTGTTTTTCTCGCTGGTTGTTTAGATGGCATTTGCAAGTAATTTTTTTCAGTAATATTGAAGATGCCCTAATGAATATATCTGTCTAATTTCGTTAAAAGGTGGCCACTAGGTTTTCGCCTGGCGCCGGGCGCAGCCCGGCACCAGGCCAGTCCGTTGTCGAAAAAAGTAGGGGGCTTACCGTTTTGGTCGGTACAGCTGGATAGCCCATGCAGGGACTAGTGGGGTAGGGAGGGGGCTGCTTTGACACAACCCATTCATTAAGCAGCAGTATTCAGTGAAGGGTTTGACTGGGACAGCTACCTTGTTGTTAATTTGCCCTAGCCAGCTGAATCAGGCCTCTGCTGAGAGTGATTATCATGATAATTGCAGAGCTCAGTGGGAGGCGCAGACAGTCACGTATTATCGTGGGTGGGGAGCGTCAAAGTCTTGGTACCAAAGACACACTTGGCAACCTGTAGACACTCACTGAAGCCATGTTTTCATAAATTCAGTCAGAAATATTATATATTTTTTTTAAAAGTAAAATTTACAAATTGCATGAAACTATATACTCAGAACAACAAATCAGTCTTCCATCGCTGAATTTCGCAGGGTGTGTGGTAGACAGTGTTCTTTGTTTTACTATCTTGCGGTTCTTTTTTACATACAGACATGTTTTTTCAATATCAAACAATTCCAGGACAAATAATTATTTAGCGGGACTTTAATTATGCAAGTAAATAAAATACAATTTTAAGCTGCAGCTCGTGTTGTTATAGTGCTCGAATGATAATAGACCTCAGGTTAATAATCACACTATGTGTCGATCAAATAGAGCCAGTCCATCTGTTGTGGGCTGGTTGAAAGACGATTGGAAGTTCAAATTAACAAAACGCTGTGGCTATATGGCCGGTAATTGGTTGAGGTTTTCAAAACACTAAATGACCGGCAGTCCCATAATTTGACAAATCGAAAAAATCCAGCTAAACTAAACTATCATATGTCGTTTAAGAATAGTCATTAAGGGATCCTGAAATGCTTTATAGATCTCAGGTGTAGCGTTTTGTTTACGCTGGGCTCAGAAAACGAAACCATGTGTTGCGACACTTACAACTTTTTTCAGGTCGACTGCCGGTCAAGGCCAAACACTAATGACCGGTAGTCCTATATTTTCAGTAAACTTCACAAATCGAAAAAATCCAGCTAAACCAAACTATCATATGTCGAGATCCTGATCAAACTAGCCGGTTTTGCAAATTAATCATAAATTGGACGTGCATCAAGAGAGAAAAATCGGTTAAAATTTCCCACCTGGAGAACGAAAAAATCATGAAAATAGTCACGAACATCAAAAGGCCCGCGCCCAACAGAAACATGATATAGAAATCCCACAATCGACTGGTTCGGGATGTCGACACAATGTGATAATTTGGATTAGCTGGATTTTTTCGATTTTTGAAATTTATTGAGAATATAGGACTGCCGGTCATTTAGTGACCAGGAGTCGACGTCAAAAAAGTTCTAAGTGTCACAAAACATGGTTT